GCACACTATAAATAAAAATTTTTTTTTTTGTACCGATTTATTTAATTACTTTTACTCTTTTTTTTTAATCAATTTATTTATTTATTTATTTTTTATTTGTTTATTCGTCGTCGCCATTACTACATACGCCATTACGACGCAGTGTTACCAATCTCAATTTTCCAATTTCATTTCGCGGTTTTTTTTGTTTACAAACAACAAAAGACCTTGATCTTTTTTTTTGGGGGGGGGGTTTCCTCTATGCAATGTAACACTCAAAAATTTTTTTTTGCGTCTTTTTGAAAAAAGAGAAAAAGAGAATTGGCTTAAAGAAGAAAATTTAATTTTCTGTTGTTCAAACAACAACAACAAAGGTGAGAAAAATATTTGATAAAGATGAAAAAAAAAGTAATAATAAAAATAGTAGAAACAAAAAGAAAAAAAGAAAAAAGTACTCAAAAGAAACTTTTATTATTATTATTATTATTTTAAATCCCCTTTTCGAATAAGAAGGAAGAAGAAAAAGAAAAAAAAAAAAAAACAAACTGTTACTTAACGGACGTAGGGAGTTACGGGGTAGGAGGGGAAGGAAAAGAGGGGGAGGTAGACAAAAAAAAAAGAGAAAGGTAAGTAAAAAAAAGGAAAAAAAGGAAAAAAAAATTTCTTAAATTATTTTCTTTTTTTTTTTTACGTACGCACGAAAAAATGGAAAAAAAAGGAAAAAAATTTTCTTTTTTTTTATAATATTAAAAAATTTAATTAACTCTTGTTATTGTATAGAAAATCCCTCCCCTCCCCTCCCTCAGCTCTCTCCATCTACCCCCCAGCCCCAACCTCCCGGATATTGTTCGGTCGGTTTAATTTCAATGAACGGAAAAGAAAAAAAAAATTTTTTACTTATTTTTTTTTTTTGTCTACTCTATGTAAATAATTTTTAGTTTTTTATATTAAAAAATAATAATAATGATAATAATCATAATAATAATAAATATATAACAATAGAAAGAATGAATATTAAAAAAAAAAAAAATTTTAATGATCTCTCCAATAAAAAAAAAAAAAAATACTTTATGTATATAAATGTACGCATGTAGTTTACGTTAAAAAAAAACGGGGAAGTAGAAATGAAAAATATTGATGACACGTCAAAATAAAATTGCAACAGGGTAAAACTCTTTTTTTTTGGTTTTTGTTTTACGTATGTACAACCAGAAAGATAAAAAAAAAAAATTTTTTTTTTTAATTTTTCACTTCGTTGATCTCCGTTATTGTTTTTTTTTTTTTTTTTTTTTCATTTTATTTTATTTAAATCATTTTTTTTTGTTTTTTTTCAGTCGTTTAAATTAAATTAAATTTTTATAAACGTTTGATGGTTTTCAAAGTAAAAACAAAAGAAAAAAATTTTTCCGAATCGTCATAGAGTAAATAAATACAAAAAAAAATTTATATTATTATTTTTTTTTTATTACTAACGTTCGGAAAGAAATTAAATGGGTGGAAAAAATTAAAAAGTTCGAGCCAAAAAAAAAAAAACTAAATCAATCTTGTAGAAATAATATTTTACCCCCCCCCCCCAAGAAAAAAAAAGGCGGCTAATAATTATATGGCAATTTAAAAAAAAAAAAAAAAAAACTAAAGGAACTGACCTTAAATATCCGGAAATTTTTCACACTGGTAAGAGTAAAATTACGTGACAAAAAAAAAGAAAAAAAATTTGCGTGTTATAAATCGAAACAAAAGACCAAAACACGATTAAATAAGGCCCTCCCCCCTACCATTTTTCTTAATTTCCCATTCCGCCGCCTCCTCCTCTTTTTTCTCCTCTTCTTAAAAACAAAATGAAAAAAAAATAAAATTTTCTTAAAATTTCTTTCTAAATATTTTTTCACTTTTTTTTTTAACCCATGAAAAATTCACTAACCTCCCCTCCACCCCCTAACAGGAAGAATGTGGGACTCAGGAACTCGGTGTCATTTTGGGGCCCAATTTTCCCATATTTGGACTAACTCGGTCTTTTCCAAAACATCCAAATTGAAGATTTACCCCCCTGGCGATCACTTTGAGTACTTTCCGTAGAGGTTTTACCCGCCAAAATTTAAATCTTTAATTTCCCCCCCCCCATTACCTCCCCTCCCTTCCTACCTCCCCTCAAAAACAAAAATAATATTAATGATGATGATGATTTCACGAACGAACGCACACATATTCGTTTTTACTTTAACTTTTTAACGAAAATTTTTTAAATTTTACTTACGCGCACGCGCACACACGCACACGCACTCACGCACCTTTTTCACAAGTTAACAAAAAACCTGTTTATTTTGTGACCGAAAAAAAAAGAAAAAATGAAGTAAAAACCACAAACAAGAGCAATTAAAATATTCAAAGGTTACACTTTCATTTACCTTTTTAATTAAAAAAATTTTCCTTTCATGTTTTTATTTTGCGGTTTTTAAATTTTTCCACTCTTTCATTTACGAAAAAAATTTCATTATTATTATCATTATTATAATAACTTATTGAAATTTTTTAAACAAAATCGAAAAAACTTTAGCGTGCGTGTTTTAAGTAAAAAAAAAAAAATGGGGGGGTGGCGATAATAAAAAATAATGAATTCTAATTCTACCATATTCATCGATACAAACTTATATGATTGACTTGTAATAATAATAATAATAATAATAATAATAATAATAATATTAAAACTTTGTGTCGACGTAATATTCGTGACCTTTTCAAAAAAAAATTTTAAAAAAATGAACGTTAAAAGGCATACATGAGCGTTGGAAAAAAAATTAAAAAATAAAATTAAGTTCAAAAGGTTAAAAAAAAAAAATTTTTTTTATATCGAAACCTTTTTTTTTTTTTTTTTGAAAGTTTTTACGAGGGCAAAGGAAAATGACCAAACCTTTTAAATATAAAAAATTCAAAACCTGACTGGGTGGTTTGTTGGAGCCTTAAAAAAAATTACAAAATCGTTTTAGAAATTCAAAGAAAAAAATCCCATATTTTGTACCGGAAAAAAAGTTTACTCAATTTTCTCTTTTTTTTTACTTTTATGGCTCATTTTTTTTTTTAAGGGCTGAAGGATTTAATGTACGTGACTACAAATTTGTCTCGGTAAAAAAAAAAATTTTTTTTTTTTTACTTTCCTTTATTATTTCCTTACACCCGTCTCCCCCCTTTCCCCCGCCTCCCACACACACACTCCACGTTACGCCACCAACATTTTAACATTAACCCAAGTTTTAGAAAATGGCTTTAACTTTTGTAATTTAAAAAAAATTTTTCCTTTTTTTTTTTTTTTATTCTTCTTTGACAATTAGTTGGCATTTAAATAATAATAATAATGGTAATAATAATAATGATAATAATAATAAAAATCACATTAAAATCCCTCGAAACCTTTTTTTTTTTTTTTTCATGTTTTAAACGTTTACTTTTTAAATAAAAAAAAAAAATTAACATATGCATATATGAATTTTCATTCATTTTAAAATCTAATTACACGATACCGTACCTCCCTTCCTTCCTCCCTCCCTCCCCTTCCTCCCC